GATTTCAAACTGGATATATGCTGTGTGCTCAGAATCTGTTTTACCTGGTAACAGCTTTTCAATGTTCCCTGGTGAATGATCCCCTTTCCTATTGCCTTATTTGGTTGACACATGACTCAAATTTGATCAATCAGAACACTACTTCAAAGCACAGTGACAAGTCTTCCTTGTCCTCTTTTTTTTTTTTTTTGGAGATATTTTTGCTATAGGCAGCGGGTGCTCACCACAAAGACAGAGAGAGACAGGGAGATCGAAAGCAAGAAATCCACCCCCCAGGGGGGATGGCCATGCCGCAATCCCTTCTCCTCCATTCTCCTCTCAGGATCTTGGGCACGCACGCACACACGCACGCCCGGCGTGAGTTTAAGCCACCAGGTCTGGGACTCGAACTGCAGTCGACTACATGGGAGTTCAGCGACATAGTCATTATGCTAACTGCTGGTCCCTTCCCTGTCTTCTTTCATGACAACCTTTGCCTAACTCTAAACTCTTCCCTCTGCTTGGGGCATTCTTATTATCCTACTACCACATCATCCCCCATGTCTCAGTTAAGGTTAATTCTTCCTCCGAAAGCCCTTCTAACTGATGTACTGGGGTTTCTATTGCTCTCATACATCCTACAAGCTTTCTTGACCTACTTTTTCCAGTTACTAGGTTCAACCATATGAAATTGCCAATATTCTACCATTTCTGACCTAAAAAATGACAAATTCATAAGATTTAACTTAATAGTTATCAACCCCCCCTCCTAAGCCACGTGACCTAGACATAAAACAACCCAGCCTACCCAATGAAAACATTTCATTCTTTGAATCCCCAAATCAGTGCAAAGGTTGCCATGTGACCCTAGTCAGGCCAATCAGAGTACTTCTCTGGGGTTTTTCACTTAGGACTGAAGATTCTACCATTTTACCTCTGAACTACGGTAGGACTGAGTTGAGTCTATAAGTAAATTAACATTTTCCCACCTTATGAAGCTAAAATGAATGACTCTGGGTTGAATCAAGGAGAGAGGAAAGATAGGTGGGAAGAGTGTCTTGATGGGGTTGAGTCTGTGTTCCCGTCCCTGAGTACCTGTTCCTTGTAGATTTGCCATTAATTCGTTTCTTTCCCAGCTATATAAGCCAACTAGTGCTTCTTTTAATGCCTATTCCTGTTGAGCTGAGTTTCTGTCACCTGCCACCAAAAGACCTGACTATAGGCTTCCCTGATCCTCCAGATTGTGCCAGGCAGCTCCCTGAGGGTCCCCCATTCTCCAGTACTTTCCCCAACACAGCCCTATTGCCCCCAGTCTGTCTATCTGTCTGTCTGAGTTCCAGGAGTACAGGGACTGGGTCTGTCTTAGTCACCGCTGTCTCCGGTGCCCAGCACAGGGCCAGATACAGAACAGATGCTCAACTACTTCCCTTGATACCAGGCTCTCCCTCCCCTAGTGGACCTTTTCCTTGGGTTTAAAGCTCTCACTTTCAAAATATAAGCATAATGTTAGCATTGATACATACAACTCTCTTAAATGAAGGGCTTCAGGTTATAGGGGATGGAAGAAGGATAGGGTATTATCAAAAGGGCTGAACCAGGGACTATGTGGGCCGCAAGTATGTCATAGAGGAAATGAAAAGCCCAGCATGCTGCTAAAATGCTCTAACAGGTTGGAACTCCATGGGAGTCCAAGATTCGATAGGTGTCAAGTTCTGAGATGGCAGTTCCTATGTCACCACCGCACCTCCAACTGGACCCACCTGACTTTGTTTTGAAGGTAAGCATACCCCGCATTAAAGCTGAGGTCTCCAAGGAAAGCAGAATACATACCACCTCTGCTGAAAATGCTCCACTGCGTTTCCAGCACTCCAGAGAATAAAATGTTGGGCCAGCAGGTGGCATGGAGGTTAAGGCATTGAATCTCACATGACCAACTCCACAGACTGAGTCCTGGACCTGGCGACTTTATAAACCACACTGGGCACATGTGTGTGCGTGGCCAAAATCCCAAGGAGAGAATGCCCCTGGGGGTGATTTTTCACTTTCTCTCTGGCTAGTATTTATGCCTTATGTCAAAAAGCTAAAAAAAATTGGGAACCAGCAGTTAGCGTAATGGCTATGTTGCTGGACTCCCACATAGTCAACCGCAGTTCTCGTCCCGGACCCAGTGGCTTAAAACTCACGCCGGGCACGTGTACGCACATGCCCAAGATCCCGAGAGGAGAATGGAGGAGAAGGGATTGCGGCGTGACCATCCCCCCTGGGGGGTGATTTCTCACTTTCTGTCTCTATGTCTCTCTCTGGCTGGCTGGCGAGGGCACGTGCCCTATAGCAAAAATCTCTTCCCTCCCCCCCAAAAAAAAAATCTAAAAAAATTAAGAAATAGAAAATAAGTTAAGTTAACCACAGTCCATACTCCCTACTTGCTTCTCCAACCTCCTCTCCTCTCACTCGTCCCCTCATTCCAGTCCATGCTCTATCTCAACACACCAAGCGCACTCATGCCTCAGGACCTTTGCACATGGTCTTTGCCTGGAATGCTTTTTCCTGGCTTTTTCAATGATGGATTTCCTCAGTGCCAATAATATCCTCCTTGACTTACCCCAATCTGAAGTAGGCCTCCCAGTCCGTCCCTCTGCCATTATCCCATTCCCGTTCCCATTCCTTGCATGGTATGTGTTTACTATCAGACATTCATTATTTACTTATTTATTTCCTTCTTGCCCTAAAATGTAAGCTCCATGGGGCAGGATTTTCTTGTTTTATCTATTTTATCCATTGCCATACAAGACCAGGCACGACCAGGCACATACGTGCTCAATACAGCTTTATCCAGTGAATCAGAAACACCAATTTTTTTTTTTTTCAGAAAGCCCAAATTCTAATGGTTAGGTATGCAAGATGTAGAGGCAGTCAGCTCTCCAATCACCACTCTGCTAGTTACTATGACCTGAGTCATAAGCTCCTCTCTGGGCCTCAGTTTCCACATGTAGAAAATCGGCTGCACACACTGCACATGTGTGTTGCGGGCTGTGAGTGCAATCACGCTTATCGTTGGAGTAACTCCACTTCATAAGCATTACGTGCCGTGCTCTGGGTTGCATACGCTCTTCGGTCATGCATCAGGGAGAGTTGCGAGCACAGCACTCCCCTGGCTGTGGGAAGCCCTCAGTACCTGTGAAACCGGAGTTGTGATGACTGACATAGGTAAGCGTGGTTGGGCACTGGGTGAGGGAGCCTCCTGGCCTGTGATTCTCCGGTGCCTCTGTCCTTGCTGCCTCCCACCCTGTCTGCCCAGATCCATCCCCCTTCCTCCTGCTCTGTTTCTATTTCTGGTCTTCCTCTCCTCCTCCCCAGGCCTCAGGGGGCCCCAGGCTGGCTTGAAGCCTTCTTCCCCAGGATCAGGAAGGAGTTTTTACTGCAGGGCCCCTGTAAGGACTGGGATGCCGGTCCCCATAATCTGTCCAGCGCCCCTTCTCCACCCTCAGCTCGCAGCCCCACCTGAGCCTCTCCACACCCTCTCCTTTACCCCCCAATAGACCTTCTCCACCTGGGTCCCTCGGACTCTAGGTGGAGGGATCAAAGAACTCTCTCTTGTCTCTCCCTCACCACTCTGACTTTGGATACCCAGGCTCAGCTAAAGTCACTGGGGCCAATTCCCAGCCTGCAGCCACAGACCCCAGGGGCATGGTAGTACAGTGGTGAGCCAAACTGCCAGCTTCAGCATGGATTATTCATTGGGACAGAGGATGGCGCAGGGGATTAAACCCTTGGCTCAGTGACTTCATCTCTCTCTGGTTTGGTTTCCTGATCATAAAATAGGACCAAGGATCTCTCTCTCACACCACTGTTGGGTCTCAGGGCAGTGGGGTACTGTCAGACTGCCTTCCATTGTAAACCCCAATTTTGCCATGTTCTGGTTATGTCACCTTGTGCTTTGTATTTAATTTTCTGGGTCTCGATTTTCTCACCTGTAAAATGGGATGACAGTACCCACATCTTAGGGTCGCTGGGGTGATAAAATGACTTAGTGCTTGGTATGTAATAAGCACTCACTAAGTTTTAGCTATTATCATTTTATTTCTGTTATGGTTTCCCACCTCTAAGCCTCTCAGAGGTTAGGAGCCTGTCTGCCCGTCTCCCTGCCCCCCTTAACCATCTTCCTTCAGCCTCACTTAGCGTCCTTATGCGGCAATCTAGGTCACCCCCACAAGACACACACGGACACACACACACACACACACACACACACACACAGGTCAGCAGAGCGGCCTCGGACACAGAAAAAAGTTTAATTCTGCTGCGGCGAAGGGTCCCGGCTCCGGAAGGGAGGGCAATTTGGTTTTGGATTTTATTCCTGTGGGGATTTATTTGGGGAACGAGGAAGGAATAGGGGGGAATCTGGTCCTTCCAGTGGGACCTGCCCGGGAGAATGGGTAGAGGGAGGAGAAACCGGGAGAGACAGGGAGATGGGACAAAATAAGGGAGGAAGAGGGACAAGAGACGACGGGACAGACACAGAGGAGACAACAGGGAAGGACAGAGATGTAAGACAGACGACGGACGGCGGGATTCAGACAGACGAGGGGAACCGGGAAAGGGGGCCCCCAAGCCAGACCGTCCGGGACCAGGGGAGTAGGATGGGGGCTTTGGAGGCCGCCGCGGGACAGAATAGGATCTAGTCCAGCCAGATACAAGAAGTGGGCCCCTCGCCCCTGCCCCGGGTGCCGGGCTGGGGGAGGGGGCTCGTGTCTCAGTGCTGCAGTGTCGGGGGGGCCCTGCCCCTCCCCGCGCTTCGCTGTGTAAGGCACCGGCTCCAGCGAGGTCCGCGAGCGCGCGG